GATTTTGGAATGCTTGCAGTTCGGGAGAACTCTTTGCCATAGCCCAAAGCTGATCTTGCCGGGGACAAACTGCATCAGGGTTACCAATCTGAAAACATACTTCAACTTGAGCATCATCTCGAAAACAGCTTACATAATCAGTGTCATCATCAACTGTATGAATGGCAATGGGGATAAATCCCCGCGGCCATCCTTGCTCATCAGGGTAATCTTCACCGGCAACACTGGCGCCGGTATCCTGACCATACATTCCAAGAAGATTTGACATCGCAGAGATGATTGTTCGGTTCACATCGGTAGAGCGAATATAAATCTGGAAAAGCTAGTAGGGTAATTGGTAATTCTTAGTCATCACGTAGGCAATTAAGTGTTGGTGTTAATCTCAAGTCGAGGGGTTACGGTCATTTTAAATATTCGGAAAAAAACCCCAAGCGAAAAGCAGTGATGTAGAGAGTGAATTGGGAAAGGACAAACTTCTTTCAGTTAGGAATGGGTTGTGCTGATTTCCTGAGAAATGAGGTTCTACAATATGCTTATCAAATTTGCCAAATTTTGAACGTTTTCCGATCAATCCAAAATTTTACAAGAGAAATGATTCTCAAAACTTCGAGGCAAAAAAATTTCCCTTCATAAAACCACACGTGGATACTTCGCCTTTTTGGTTCTTCGAAAAAAAACCCTAAATTTTCTACAAAGTTACTGTGATACCATTTTTACTGTGCATAAAGTTCTTAAAAGATGTTCGTTACATTATTGGAAGATGAAGAGCGATGATAAGTGAAGGATTAAACAATAAAGGAAGGTGCTAAGGGCAGATTTTAAAACGATTTTCAGGGAACTCAAGTCGGCTACGAAGAAAATATACGCTCAAAATTTTTCGTTTAAGATTGATGTAAGTTCTTCAAAATTTCGTACGTTGTAAAATTTGTGATTTCTCACGCATCAGTATGGCGAAGGTAGCTATGAAGAGAGAAAAGAATACATCGAACCTTTTCTGCGTTTGTTTTTGCATATATCTTTGTACAGCAAAAAATGTTGTCCTCCCAAGGATAAAGCGAGAATTATCAAGACATAAAGTTGGCATGCT